TGTCTGCCTGACTGACTGACTGACTGGCTGGCTGACTGGCTGGCTGGCTGCTGAGCACCACTGCTTAAAAAGCTGTCCTCTGGATCTGGTGTCCCTCACACACAAATAAAGGCAGGAAAAAGTAAAAGCATTTACCCTGGATCAAGGTTGGCCGCTTCTAACTTTAGAAGTAATGTTTGGCAACCGATTTCCTCCGACTCTGACTGTTCATCTGTTCGCTCAGTCAGAGGCGCAGCTATTTTTAGACGCACACCTACTGACTGATGAAAAAGTGCAAAGTTAATTAAAAGAGACACAACACATCCAACTATTTCAAAAACCTAATGACTCAGAGACACAAGGAATAATGTCAGGAAGTCGTATCAAAGTCAGCTTTGCATGTCCATCACATGTAGTTGATTCATTCAAGATAATTTGACCTACATACATTAAAGGTTCTGCCATTCATTTGCATTTTAATCTTGGATTCAGAGAAAAAATTGGACTAGGAGAAAAAAAAATCAAAAGATTTTGACTTCCTCTTGGAAGCCATAATGAAGGGAAGAACACCTCTCAAAAAAAATAAATAAAAAAAACACACACAAATGAAAGAAAGTGAATGTAGCACAATCCAATGTATGGCAAAGAACCAGGAAATGCAATCAAAGTCGTCTTCTGCATATAGTGCCATGTGACAACGTATTTGTTCCCTCCACTCGCCAACTAGTTCCTGTGCTAAGTAGTTGGTAAGTTTAACACCATACATTGAAATGATGAAACAAGACTTTCTTAATAAATGTATGGGAGATGGTGACGATACCACAAAAGGTGTAGGTCAAGGATGTCATAAATCTAAGGACCTTAAGAACTTTCTACAAAAAATTAGACTCTTAATTAAAAGGAAATAAAACTTAGAAATAACTGCAATATCCAGATATATCTGAACCATTGGGGGGGCCCTGCTCCTCACTTTGGGAACCATTGGTCTAAACAGCCCAAATCCAAGACGAGGTCCACTTTCACGTGTGGTCCTGAATGGATGCATATCTGATTTATTTAAAGTAGCCTTAGTCTGAGCATGTTTCACTTCATATGAGTTTTATATCACAGGAGCGAGACAGTCAGGGGAGTCAGGAACCGGCAAGATCCAATGTAAATGAAGAACAAGATTTTCATAGTGCTGCCCACTCCCCTTGGCGGTCTCTTCCTCCAGAGCCCGGCGATAAGAGGAACAAACATGGGCAGCTGTAGCATTCATCCCCCATTAAAGGGCGGTCTAAATGACACCAAAACCATGAAAAGATTAACAAAGATTCCACAACAACATTTAATGTGAGACACACATGCTGACATGCAGGTTACTGGGGGTGGGGGGGTGGGGGGGCTTACAATTGGGTTTTGACAGAGGAAGCAATTCAATTAAAATATGAACAAACAGGCAAAAAAACCTGATCCCAGCTAAATATTGGAATTAAGCATGAAGACTGATGATGTAATCAAGTCTACGTGACACATTTCTATTGGCCTTTGGATGATGTAATCAAGTCTACGTGACACAATTCTATTCATTGTTCATCACAGACGACGGCAGCAGCAGCACAGAAGTTCCTAATACGATAACAAAGTCATGCACAGTCAGCAGAAGACCTGCGCCCCTGGCCTTGATCCTCAGATGTCACGTCAAACTGTTCACGACATGCCTCCAGTCTCTGCTACTTTGTACTTATGAAGAAACAGTAAGAGTTCATGTAACAAGTTGACAGAATGATGCTGCAGTGAAACTGCTAAGCTATGACGTGTCCTTTTCTTGCAGAGAAAACGATGGATGCTCTTTTTATACCTGGACTTCAGAGTTCTTCCACTCACTGCTTAAGGAATATTCCAGAATATTCTTTGGGTTTTTACCTCATCTCATTTGGAGCAAATTTCATTTTGCTCACTTACAGGGATAGAGGGTTAGTACATAAAAAGACTAAAACGTCAATGAGCAAGAAAACAAAGAAGAGAACCACCCAGAGTTAACATCTAGCATGTTTTAAAGACGTCTGAAGCATCTGTTAGCTGATGAAGTCAGTGTCATGCAGCCGTCCTGGTCATTACTCCACCCTGTGGTGGTCTGTCCTCCAGCAGCTGCATTACACCACGCTCTCTGACTTTCTAATTAGCTTATCTCAGAAAATAGGGATGCCGGGCAATTCTTTGCTCTAGCAGTCTAACAACAAGCAGACGGCAGGGAGTGGTGTTGGCACCTATAGTGGCATCAAGGGGGCTGTTGTCTTCAAGAGGCTGTGCTACAAGAAAAGAACAGTTTCCTCTGCTCAGCGTCGGAACCGTTCTTTTTCAGTCTCCACTTCGAACCAATTTCAGATTATACCAGATGATTTAACTTCAACAAGAGTTTCTCAAAGTGATTTACAATGGTGTAGCAATATAGGTTTACTTTATTCAACAGTATTTAACTGCAGGTATCATTTTGATGAACTATAACATGGGATATTTGACCTTTTTAATTAATTAATTTATTAGTCATTATCTACTAAACAGAAACCCCTGTAGGTGTCACTGTCATCTCTCATCTCTAATGTCCTCTGGCTGTCCTCAGAGTCATGGACTGAGGGGTGTCAGGATAGAGGGATAAAGGAGCAAAGAGAGGCTAGATCCTTCCACCTGTAGCAGCCAACATCCTGCAGGACTGTAATCTGCCAGTTGTCTCGTGCTGGGATGTCCAGCTGAGCTGAGGCCAGTCAAAGCCCTGCAGCCTCCAGCAAGAAAACGATGCTGAGACCCTGGGACATGAGACACCTGCACGGTGAGATAAAGGCTTCAACTCCTGAGCTAATAGTGACGACTCTTTTGATAAATACAGACATGCAATGGTAGCTGTGGGGTGGAGAGACAGTCAGGGGAAGCAATCTTTTCCAGCTCACTCTCCTTCATTTTCTCTTCGCTGTCTACCTGTCTCAGTAATCTCTATTTTTCTTGTACTTTGTGTATTCTCTCTCTCTCTCTCTCTCCTTCCCTCTAGGTCTCTCACTCCATCCACTCTCTTCCTCCTGTCCTGTGTGAGTTTGGATCAGACATGAAAAGCTCTCCACGCTTTGCCTTTTTATTTATTCCATATCTGTAACTGTCAAAAAGAAGATTGCCTCTCTAGAAGCTGTCGGTGTGGTGTGGTGTGGTGTGTTCGCACAAAGTCAAACAGAGGTGGTTGTGTTAAAAGTGTTTTGACCACTTTGTAAGGACACAAACTATGTCGGCCGTGGTTCATGAACCTCAGGCATTTAAAAATGTCTCTACAAAAGAATGAGACGTAACGCCTCTTAAATGACACAGCAGTGAGAAGAGTGGTTAAAACAGTATTAGCCCGAGGAGGTAAATGGAGTGGGGCCTGAACAACATCACCTCCCACTGTGACTGTCACTTAAAAGAGCTTTCTGAAACCCAAACATGCCCAGTGTTGCATGATTAGCATATTAAGCAAAGCTTTGGAAAGTTAATGATCCAATGAGGCTCTGGAAGGACTTAACACTTTACCTTCTTAAGATTATACAGAATGAAGAGTCATTTGTAACCTAGGAAACTAATTAGTTGCCAGAAAATTTATATAACGGGTGTGCTAGTCACCAAACAGAGAGAGTCATTTTCATTCAGATCAAGAGATGATGCTCTGATGGCTTTGATTCACAATCCTGAGTAAAAGCAAAATTCTTAAATCAATCGAACTATAATTGAACAATATTTGATTTTTTCAAATATTTCTAGAAACTTCAGGTCAGATCCAAACTGAATGCCAGTATTAGCAGAGCAAATCACACTAATAAATGATTACATCATAATTAGTTTGGGACAGTGGTAGGTGGGACACAAACGTATGGTAAAGACTTAATTTCTTTAATGATTTAATTTCTTCTGTTACATGCATGGTAATGAGTTGAGTGATTGCAATTTCAGTGTTTGCCACTAGTTGGTGTGCAGACATCAAACGTGCCAAAATTGCTCTGCAAATTTAGTTGAGGTTTAATCTTGTACTTTTTATTCATAATACATTTTTTATTCATATTTCACCCAAACATTCTACATCCAACCAATACTGAACCGGCGGCTGTCAAACTTAACCAATACTGAACCACCGCCCTGGACCCTACAGTGACCAAACCAAAAAGCACAAAAGTGGTAAAAAGTTGGAGAACTAGTCCATTCAGACTCAACAAGGTCGTTGTGAACAACAGCAGTTCCCTCACACACCCTCACACACACACACGAGCACCTTTGAGAAATTGTGACTACAAAAGTTTCATCTCCATTAAGTTTGTGGTCAGGGCAGACAGACGGTGTGAACGGAGGTAAGCTCCATCACCTTGCTCTGCACACTGTTGTAGGCAACAGTTCATCTTTCCTGTCTGTTGTGTCATGCTCATTGTCTTTTCTCATTAAGGCTGCAGCCAGGATGCTACGATATGGTCGGTGCCGCCGCTAGCCTAGCGGACGCACACGGCTCATGGTGGCAGATGCCTGTCATTTTTTGTGGATGCCCTCCATCAAGTGATGACAGATGTCAGGGCTCCTCCTGGACGGCAACACTTCATCATACTACCCTGTTCTCTCCTCGCCCCGCTGGATACATCAGCCTGCTCGGCAGACGCCGTGCATCCTGCCACACCTTTTCATTCCCTCACAAATGCACACACGGGAGACGCACACACACACACACGGATCCTAACGCACCTCTGTATCCATCAGTCATGTGTTATTATTCCAGACAGCATTAAAACTGGCGACCGATGAATCACGTGCTAATATGCACAGAAGCATCCACTCTGGAAATTCAACATATTCATCCTTTTTAAGTGTGTGTGTGTGTGTGTGTGTGTGTGTGTGCCTGAAACTGATAGGGACTCTACTTCCTAGAGCACAGGTTTTGAAGCAACAGTAAGAAAAAAAATTACATTTACCTACAAAGCAAATACCTCTTTAATTAAAGTCCAAACCTTTTGCTAAACACAGTGTAACTGCCCACTTACCATTTTGGCCTGCTGGTGGACTTCACCACGGGAGACATGCCATCTCGGTACAGGCTCTTGGTCTTGGAGAAATTGACCACGTTGAAAATGACTCTCTGATGGACAGAAGAAAACATAACATTTCCATTAATTCACTTCACTATCATCCACAAAACATGGCTTTGTTTACATTCGCTGGTCATACTATACATTGGATTTGCCCTTTATTATGGCTCCCAAGTGTAAGTCAGACTCAACTGACGTTTTTATGCCACAGATTATGATGTTAGCACTGTGTTAGCGTAGGTGAGTGACATACAGTAGGTCCTCACAGACATACAGTAGGTACAGTGTGTGAGTTCACATGTATGTTGAAAATCGAGTAACTTCACACCAGTTTGCAAATGTACAATCGACACAATAAGCCAAGACTGTTCAATTTAATGGTACACAATTTATGACGCATATCTAAAACTCATGCTGCCAAAAATGTACGTATGCAGCATGTCGAAGATTTCATATACTTTACATTTTATTGGGACCTAAGACTAAAGAACCATAATCTTCAGCACCAGACACCAGAGATCATGGATTTGATTAAACAAATGTTCAAAATAAAGTGTGGTTTCCAACACATACATGAGGAAATACTGACAGACCCTGAGTCAATGTAGGACATCATTTAATTGTACGTCTGCAGTGCAAAAACACCAAGGTTATCTTTACTTAAAGTTTCACAGCACTGACTGTCTCTGAATCACCAGACGGCCCCGAACACTTAGGCTAAAACCACAACCACAAAGGCTAACACCCATGGTGCCCAACAATCACAGCACATTAACATGGCAGTGTTGAGATAAGGCAGCGTTAATGTCCTGCAGATGATCCCATGTTGCAGTAACAAAGTTTGTGATAAAGGCTGAGCAGCTCTGACGAGGGCCAGCCTCTGATCTGGGAGGACATTATAGTTCTCCCCAGACGGAGGCGGCCTGGCCCAAAACATTAAGCTTTGCCTGGAGCAATGGTGTCTGACTTCAACCTTCACTGGACCAAGACTTTATTTCTCAGCTTTAATGTTGTAGAATAACCACCTTCTACTTCCCCGTACCCACACTGTGGAAGATTAGGATCAGAACGAGTTGGAAAATGTGCAGTTGGAATGGAAAAAATATATATATTTCATTAAAAAGTCAAATGAATGGCGATGGTAATATTGCATGGCGGTAAATGAATCCTATTGATGGGCCATATCAAATTACCAAATAAGTCCAGGTGGCGGAAGTTAACTAGGTGCTACTGAAATCCTATTACAAACTCCCTACCCTTCCTTTCTTCCTTCTCACCCTCCCCCCACGTCCATTTCTCCCCCTTTTTCCACCCTAGCATCAGAGGAATAGGGATTGTGGATTGAGGCAGGCTGATTCAGACTTAGGTAAAATGACATCTAACTGATGTTGAGACTGGCAGCAGGCTCCTGTAGCAGGGAGATAAGACCATTGCTGCTGGCATTTCAATTACACTTTACTGCCCTGCACATCTGTTGCTCAAGCTACTTTTCAGCCTTTTCCCCTCAGGCAAATACAGCCTTACTCTGACTCCACTGGCTTTCTTTGACTGCTCAGCCTTCTCTTCCATCGTTTTTTTTTTTTTTGCCCAACATATTCAGATTGTCCTTCTCCTTTCCTTCACTCTCCCCACTGTTTTATATGTCTTCCCTGTTTATCTCACGGGGGGGAGTTGGGCTGGACAGATGACGGCGATGCACATACGGAGAAAAAAAACGTAGAATTAAATCAGAGTTGGAATAATAATCAGATCTTCCAACAGGCAAACATGATGCATGTACGGCACGATATGAACAGAACCAGATACAAGGAGTGAATGAGAGGGTTTTGGAACAGAGATAAATATGTTGTGATTTAATGAAGGTAGTGTAGGAAAATGAGCTGAGCTCCACTAAATGGGGGGACAGATGTAGAGGACACAGGCAGGTGGGCTGATGGGTTCAGGGTGGAGGCACATGGCTTATTAAAGTGTCAGTATTTCTCATTTTACTGAAGCTTAACATTTGTGTCATCACGTATCACGTCACAAAGTTAATCTCCCACTTACTGGGCAAAAGTTTGAGAGCTACACAGGACAACACTTGACCACTGACTAAAAGTCACGATGTGAAACGTGTCTCAACAACAAGCCATTCAGTTTTCACTTGTGACGCTAAATAAACACAAGCTACATTGTCTCATGTGAAGCAGTGCGGTATTTTTGTTGCTCTAAAATAAAAGTAAGTAAATAACACGAAAACATCCAGGTTCATTCTTTTGCCGGCCTTTCGTTTTTTTTAGGTCACATGAGTTTTCAGTCAGTTCAGTTAACGGTAAAAGGTAAACGTTTTTTTGACTGGACTGTGTTTAATCCTATTCACTAATGAGTCAACACAGGACATACAGCTGCTAATTCCCCTTCAATCTTCAACTCTCATCACTGTCTGTCAGAGACAGGGCAACAACCTGACCCCCATTATTAACAGGCAAATGATAGAAATGAAGAGGTATTTCAGCAAATGTTTAATATTATAATGCGGCTCAGAAGTTAATAATGAGGGTGAAGTAGAGGTGACAACAGTTTCCGGTCATTTCTGTCCATAATGTTTTAGGTTTTCAAATATCAGATGTAAGAATAAAAAAATAAAAGTTTGTTGCTAAAATTAAAAAAATTGCACCACTCTGGTTTAGTTTTTTTTCTAGTTAAGTTTTTACTACTGCACTTTTCAAATTATTAATAAGGTTATTACAATTATTAATTATTAATAAAGTAGATAATAAAGTCGACACTATAATCCTGTTTGAAAATGTTTCTAATTTACTTTCTACAACAGATTCAGCATGGTCAAACATTCCCATAATGCATTGTGAAAGGGAACTACAGAACCTGTGATGAGAGTGGATGACAACAGATCAACTTTTGTCACTGTGTTTCCAAAAATGTTAGCACTTTTGCCAAGTTAAGATCAAGGAAACTTCTGCACAACTGAAATTCACTTAAAATCCTTCCAGTGCGTGTGTGTTTGCGTGTGCGCACAGTTGTTACAGTGTGTGTGTGTGTGTTGCCCGGCAGCATTTAAAATTTAATTAGTCTGGGAGTGGTTGGAGGAGATTAGCATCCACACTGTCTGAGCTGTCATGTCAACAGAAAACTGTGAAAGTCCTTTGCCTTCCACATTACTGCAGACTGGAACAGGTGTCTGTGTTGTGTCACAACACACACGAAAACACAGACGCACAAGTTTAATCTACAAAAATTGCGACTGTTAAAAACAGTATGATATTAAGAGAAGAAACACTCGGAAACTTACAACCGAAGCAGTTTGTGCATAAAACACAGGCTTATTCTTATTCTTATTCTTATTCTTATTCTTATTTGTGTGATGTAGATGCATCACGTAGTGTAGAAGGATGGCTGATCCATGACGGTGCTGATTATTCAACATTTACAACAGTGGATCCTACAGTGTTTCTGCGAAGGCCAGAGGAAACTCTTGCACTTGACAGAGTAGGTAGAAAGAGTGAGTAAATCTGACCTTTGAGGTCACAGTCCTAACGACAGCTTCATTAGAGTGTGCATTGGGAGTATCAGCTTCACATACAGGTTAAATTAAGAAAAAAAGTGTCATTTCACATATTCTGGGTGTTTGTCAAAATGCTTCGTGTCTGATCAAAATCTCCACATTAAATTTTTAACATCTTTACCAGCTAGCCTCGGGGTTTGGCACTAAAATATCCTTGGCCGGTGCACACTGCAGGATAGGATTGCAGAGCGGACCAAAATCCGGCTCTTGATCCACATCGATCCAGCATGTGGCGAGATAGCATTGCTTCCTGGAAGAAGCCTCAATAAATTATTAAAGAAACTATTTCAAATGTGTCAACGGAGACCTCCGCAGAGGCTCAGCGCTGTCGCCCTGTGATACTGACCGGACTGTTAATTATGGAAGAAAATAATAATACAAAGAAACGGTCGAGGTGAAAAAAGGACTTGAGGGTAAATTAAGGTTTTAAACTACTGATCACGGCTCTGTGGAGTTTTACATACCGTTGACCTCCACTGGGGATTGCTGCAGTGGGTCATGTTCAAAGTTACATTACAGCAGTTTTTACACAGGGTGTCGGTTCTAATGCAAACATTTTACAACATTTATCCAGGCGTTTGGTGGATAGGGAATAATGGGAAACTTGAGCGTAAAAGGAATTGCTTTTAATTGACATTTAAAACGATGAAGCTTCCTCCTCCTCCCCAGCAGAGGCTGCAATGACCTGGTCCAAGGGTTTCATTCGAGCAATTATTATTATTACACGAGTTATTATTTGTCATTTAATTTAATCCAAACATTTTTTTTCTCTCTGATAAACCATTGACTTTCAAGTCTTTATGATCCAACTCTAATGACGGCGAGGTTTACCTTGCTGCCAATAACCTCGTCAGCCTGCATGTGTTCCAGGCGTCTTTTTTAACGTCACTTTTATTAACCAAGGTTTTTTTTTCCTAATCTGAGCTTTAGATCTCTGGGTGAGTGCAGTTTTATTATAACCAAATAAACTGACTGCAGAGCAATGAAAATAAATTGTGAAGTTTGAGGAGAATGTTTCCCCGAAGGATAGTATGCCACACATAAACACACACACACACACACACACACACACACACACACTGGCAGAATTACATAGGTGCACATCCAGTGCAATGGAACAAAGATCTTGCAAATCACGCTGTTAAATTCCATGCAGCCCTGTCTGGAGAGCAGCAGGATTTATGCCTCACAGTGATAAGTGTATTATGTGCTCATTTGCAATGTTGGCAGTTTGATAATGTTTCTAATGCTGTTCTTTATGCGTTTGTTTTCCTTCTTCCACTTCTATTTATCTTTTTATTAACTGTGGTATTTGTAGCTTTTCTGTATTGATTGTGATGAATGCGGCACCGCTGAGCCCAAAATAAATCCCCCCGTGAGGACAATAAAGTGCATCAAATCATACAATAAATAATATGGCTCGCGTTGTCAAAACAGCCTGTCTAATTTACATAAAATGCTGCTGGTTGTTTATTTTAGGGCTCGCAC